TTCGAAATACATTTTGTTTTCGGACGAATGTATTTTTCATAATAATGGCAATGTCAACCGCCATAATATGCATTATTGGGCAACCGAAAATCCTCATTGGATGCAGCAAGCGCATTCACAAGTCAGGTGGTCGGTGAATGTTTGGATGGGTATTCTTGGAGACCACATCATTGGGCCTCATTTTATTGATGGAAAGGTCGATGGTAACGGATACCGAAATTTTCTTGAAAACGAACTTGTTCTTCTCTTACATAAGGTGCCGCTGGAATTACGTGTTAACATGTGGTTCCAGCAGGATGGCCATCCTGCACACACTGCTAGAGCAACAAGAGAGTTGTTAAATAGAAAATTCGGTGACCGTTGGATCGGACTTCATGGTCCTCACGAATAGCCACCACGTTCACCAGACCTCACACCTCTAGACTTTTTCCTGTGGGGTCATTTGAAGCAGCAAGTTTATGCAACGCAACCTGTCAGCGTTCAAGATTTAAAGGATAAAATTAAACGTGCTAGCCGTGAAATAAGTCCACAAATCTTGCGCCGGGTGCGTCGCGCAATCTTGGATAGAGCTATGCTTTGTGAGAGGATGGAGGGGGGCCACTTCGAGCATTTGAAGTAAAAAGTTGATAGACATATTGATGACGTATTGAGCACGGTCACTCGTTGATGAAATTTCTCATCTGCGAGTGCTCTTACTCAATATGATTTCAATATATCTGTTGTCCCCTACATACTAAAAAATAGGTCGAAAAATGGTATACCAGGAGTGTAAGTTGAAGTTTGCTGGTTTTTATAGTAGGTGTCGCTAGCAGGATGTAGGCATTTCTATGATTTGTTATATACACGATTGTTTTCTATTGACATTAACCTTCAAAAACACACAAGTCTCATTCTGTCAAAATAATAGCGTCATAGTCGTTTATATCAATAAATATGTCGAGTTTCGTTCCAAATAAAGAGCATTTGCGGAAATGCTGCTTCAACGGTTCAAAAGGAAGTCTTTTTTGCATTGGATTGTCACGGGTGACGAGAAATGGATTTATTTTGAGAACCCGAAGCGAAAAAAATCATGGCTTTCACCTGGTGAAGCCGCCCCATCCACTGCAAAGCCCAATCGCTTTGGCCGTAAGACAATGCTCTGTGTTTGGTGGGACCAGGATGTGGTGTGGTGTACCACGAACTATTAAAACCTGGTGAAACGGTAAATACGGATTACTACCGACAACAAATGATCAATTTGAATCATGCGTTGATCGAAAAACGACCGGAATGGGCCCGAAGACATGGCAAAGTTATTTTGCAACATGACAACACGCCGTCTCATACCGCTAGATCCGTGAAGGACACATTAAAAACACTTAATTGGGAAATATTATCGCACCCGCCGTACTCTCCAGACCTCGCCCCGTCCGACTTCCACCTTTTCGCATCGATGGGGCACTCACTTGCAGAGCAGCACTTCGTCAATTTTGAAGAAGTTGAAAAATGGCTCGTCGAATGGTTTTCCTCGAAAGAGAAAAAGTTTTTTTGGAATGGTATCCATAATTTGCCTGAAAGATGGACAAAATGTGTAGAATTAAATGGTCAATACTTTGAATAAAAATATTTTGAGATTCCCCTGAAAATTATGTGTTTTTTTTTACGAAAAAACCGGCAAACTTCAACTTACACTCCTGGTAATATGGCTATAGGCGAAGGTCCAAAAAACCTAACGCGCCGTTGGTGATATCTCAAAGGTGGTGTGGAAGTCCACCAAATTTTTCAATTATTATTTATTAATATTAAGAAAGCGTTTATTATTATAAATTTGTATAATTGCGTGTCCTTTAGTTTTGCGGAATTCAACGCAATGAACTGAACTAAAGTAAAGATAAAAATTATAATAAGTTCATATGACTCAGTGGCTCAATCATGATCCTGACTGAGATGATATTTTTCGTAATACGTTTCTTAATTTTCAAATAACGCGTGTTATACCTCTGCCGTAGTTTGCGACTGTGCTGAATTCCGCAAAACTAGCGGGCACAGTCGTATTATAATTTCCTTCTTTATTTTAGTTCACAATTGCGTTGAATTACGCAAAACTAGCGGGCACGCAATCGAACTTATTATAATTTCTCAGTTTCGATTGACAATTATAAGAATTATACGCTTTCTTTGTTAAATTACTGGTGATAATTATAATTGTTTAGTTTGTGTTTATTTATTTATCTATTTGAATAAAATGTTACGAAAGACGACGAGAATTAAGCCGTAATTATTAAGTATTATACGTTTGTACATCTATCTAAGCCGCTGCCATCTCTAGATCGCTCAAGTACTAGAGGTGCAGTCGGTAATTTACCGCCTATGGTAAACGGCTTGAAAATGTGGTGTCCATCCATTAAAATTCACCC